GTGATGACCTACATGCCTATTCGCTAACTTAGTTGACATACCAAAATGATAGTCACTTTGTAGTACGTTTTATGAGCTGTGCTGGCTCTTATAGAAAAGCTATACAACAACAAAGTAAATAATATTTTAGTATCAACGAGGTTAGAGAAAAGGCCTGCTGGTAAAGATATGCAGAAATTTGATAGATATAGTGTGGCTCCGGATCACGGTCGTGTTTCTTATCACTCCTTAGAAGAGTCGTAGGGTCAACCAATGGACTTGTGAAGGGCTGTCGTCAGAACCGAGGCACGCCACCTCTGCTCGAATGGCCGCTAGATAACTCATTTGTACACTGTTTGCGTATACGTTAATAACCTTACAGGAAATGACAAGACATCCTTATCACCATCATCATCATCAGACCCCCTAACTGCATTAACATCACAGAAAATAGCTTATGAGCGGCTGTAATGATAATGAATGGTGTGTTCGTCACATGCCACAGGTTCCCCCGCTGCACGCTCATCACTTGGTTCCTACCAAAGATTTGCTCCACACAAGGCATTTATTTAAAAGGCAATAATATGAGATCTGTTACAGGCGCGGAGGCAAACCGGATCGTCTGGTATTCATATTTACGTTTCGCGACGTATCCGTCATTGTTAGGAAGGGAGCGAGTCGTGCCCACAGACACTCGTATTGTCGTAGGGCCGATAATTAATTTAGCTGTATGGGGTTATTTTACACAAACACGCGTATTTATAACATTAGGTGCGTTGAGGTCAACAAGTCAAGGACTATAATCGTCGACAACGCTTTAATAATATAAACAATTATTGCGCATTCTTTGATATGTACGTAAATATTAATTACACTGATGTTTGACGGTATTTTTGACCCATACTTTTGTGCATTGTTTTAATTAAAACTTTAATATTTTTGGATAATATTTCAAACAAAATAACCACCTTAAGCCAAATTTTGTTTTATAGGATAGGGTGACAAACGAGCACACAGTCCACCTGATGGTAAGTGGTTGCTGCGGCCCATAGATATCTACATCTATCCTCGATTACAAATCAAAATGCAGATGCGTTGTCAACCGTGAGGACTAAGGTGGAATGCCTCGTTTCCAGTAAAAAGACTCTCCGGTTCCACCATCGATACACGCGCTTAAGCTACTATTGCACGCTGGTATTCTATGAGTAAAGAAAGACACATGAGTAAAGAAACCGACTCCGATCCATGCTGCAGGTATATTAATTTAATAGTTGTAGCAGGAATGGATCGGCTCCACTGTGAAAGGACCACGCTCTCACAGAATACCAGCAGTAAAATAGCAGCTTAAAGCTGTGTTTCATATGGTGAGTGTAGAGAACCGGAAACCCTTACTTACTGGAAAAGAAGCTTCCATCTTAGTCACATCGATCGATTCGCAGACGAGGATTGATGTGGATGTCTATGGGCCTCAGTAATCACCCTAGAATATGATTCCCTTGCAAAATGATTATTCGTTATTATTATAAATAAGACATATTTGTATAAGAACTAAATACACATTTCCGTAGAGCTAATATAGTCAGATTTATCTTTGTAAACTATCACAGTCACTTAATATTTATGAATCAAGTAATAATTTTACTAGAAATCCGTCATTGCTATTAATACGACTCAATAAAATGATTTTAATCTATGTTAAAAGCACATAATAATATTTAATGTATACCAATTACGTGTTTGTATAATATGAAATCGTTTAACTTAAAATCTATTTGATCAATCACCATGAAAATTAGTATATAATTTGTATTTTTCAATGGAGAATGTTTAAAACCATTTTTTAAACAAACAGAATTTAAAAATTTTGATTTTATTTACTTTTTTTAATTAAGTGTGGCAATTAATAAATTAAATTGCATGCACTAAAATAAAATAAACGTTGATGAACACAACCTATGACATTAACTGGAAGTCTACCGGTTTCAACTATTTACGTTTATAAACGTGAAATTATTTATAATTCCGAAGTTTGAAATTCGTAAATTTATGTGGTGCTATAAATTAATTTCACCGTGTAGTAACTGCGTAAGGGAATCCGTACCACCATTTAATCCCGTGGGGGTCGTAATGAATACCCTTCTTTATAGAATATGGGTGACAAACGAGCACACTGTCCACCTGATGGTAAGTGGATACTGTGGCCTATAAACATCTAAATTTATCTTTAATTATGAATCAAAACGCAGTGGCGTTGTCAAACCCTGAGGACTGAGATGCCTCGTTTCCAGTAAAAAGAGTCTCCTGAACTTCTTTGAAAAAAAAACGCCAGTTAATATCAAAGATGTCAATGTTTTTTTAATTTCAAATGTGTGTAATTACTATTCATAATTTCATAATTAATCATTGAAACTTTATTATTATATTATACTTCACAATTTGTTAATAAGTGCTATTATGATTATTATAAGGTTAACATAATAATATTTTATTGTCATATGATATTTGTAAAACACTAAGAATTATTTATTGTGCTATTTCTACACCGATACCGATAATACATGTTCATGCTTTAAATTCATATCGGGTAATGCAACAGCTTATTGTACCATTTCTCTAATATAAAAAATAAGAGGTGACTATACGAAGTGCCATAAAATTCCTATGGCTTCCGATAAACGGCAGTTAAGGCGATAACCATCTCGATTACGTTAGACTGAAATATCCAGACCAGCGACAGTCAGCAGACGTCGAATACTGGGATCGTCAATATATCTGTCAAATGTGACGATTAAAGAAAACCCTCCCTATAACATGAGAACCCCAAGTCCAACTATAGTATCTAAAAACATACTTGAACAACCCAGCGGTAGAAAACTGACAGCTACAATATAATATTACTCGCTTCGCTGGGCGCACGATAGTACTTTATTTTCATGGGACTATCGTAAAATGCGTTCTTAGTGAGCAATTTTTGTTCTTAGTAACTATGTAGACGTATAAAAAAGGTAAAGTAAAGTTACAGCATATATACGTCCCACTGCTGGGCACAGAACTCCCCTCATTTCTGAGAGGGTTTTAGGGCAAGGAAGTGTCCGCCGCGCTGCCCCAATGTGTGTTGGCGAACTTCACATGTCTTCGAAATAACTTTTTTTTCTTATTTCTCAGACATGCAGGTTTCCTCACGATGTTTTCCTTCACCGCCGAGCAAGTGGTATATCAGCACTTAAAATTGCAATTAACAATTTCATTGGTGCCGGCGGGATCGAACCCGGGTTACTCGCGTTCTGTTATTTTATAACGCGTTCGTTATTTACAGCGAACGTTAACCATCTGAGCTACCACGGCGGCGGCTGTAGACGTATATATACATACATATATATATATATATATATATATATATATGTGTATATATATGTGGGTGTACAGATAATTCTTTATATAATGTCCGACGATTCTAGACAGTCTCTCGTTTATCGCAACGTAATCGGTGATGAAAAGTTTTAATCGAGATATATCTTTTCTCAATAGACTGTCCTGTTGGTCTAGTGGTCGTAAACTCGATTGCCCCGGTCGCCGCAGTTATTGGGTGTTTCTGTCAAGAAATTTTCACTAGCAGCCCGAAGTTTGCGGTGTTTCACCCCGCCGTGGGCTTCGAGCTCGCCGGGGGGAATTCGGTCTGGAGGACATTATCATTATTATAGTATGCACCCAGTGCATTAATTCTTAAAACCATCAACTAATGTCACTGAGCTAACAAGTATCATAAATCCTAACTACAAGAGAATTTACACGCATACTTAACTTTGTTATCAAATATCCTATGAAGTAATCGAATATGCTATAACCAAAATGAAATATTTTAGTATATACGTTCAATAAGCGCTGGTCCTATAAAGACCGCAACATCAGTTAAAAGAAGCCGCAATCACGCGCGACATGCCTTACCTAGCCAATGATACTGAAAATAGGTGCAACATTAAATAATAAAACAAGCCCCGAACGTGATAAAAGAGACATCAACGCTTCGGGCGCGCGGTGAACTTGATATATGTAAGAAGAATGTGATTTTCCTTTTCGATGATTCTATCTTTTTATGATCACACATGGTCTTAGGGTTACTTTTTTACTTAGGAATGTATCTGGATTATCACTTACACTGCTACGTTTAAGTTTGAAAGGCAAGCGAGCCAGTATAATCACTTGTTGGGAGAGATTCAGTCTCAGTCCTCAAAAGTGACAACGCACTTATGGCTTCCTTTGCTTGCAGTAGTTGTATGTATGTGTATACGGGCTGTAAAACTTACCTTACGTTAAGAGGATTATTAGCTCGTTTGTTATTTAACTCGTTCGTCTAGTGGACGTAAACGCGGTAGCTGAGCGTGAAGTTTTTCTGTCAAGAAATGCTCAGTAGCCTAGAGCCTTCAGCACATAAAGTCTTGAATCTTACCTCTCTCTGGTGATGTTGATTAACCGTCCGATCTGACTATGTGAGTGAGGGAACAGAGAGTGCACTTGTGCTTGTGCTTATATTCGGGCACTATAATACCATCCTGCGTAGACGACTAATCTCCATTGCTATTTTGAAATACCACCTTGGCTTAAATTCGATGCGGTTGACATTATTTATAAATATTTAAAATTATTGTGTAAATTTCATAATTTTATGTGTTTAATTTTGTTTTACGACTATTAAATTTAAAGCTCCTCAATAAATGTAAAGCTTATAACGATGTACTCTAAGCAATATTATATTCTGTCATCAATTTTACAATAATACCCGTAATACCGATCACAAATGCTTATGGATATACAACCTCGACACGAATCAGCCGTGGCGTAAACTATTCACATTATAAAGACAATATTAATTCACACGTTCCTACTTATAGAATATGTGCAAAGTTGCGTTAAGTTCATGGTTAATACATCTTTGTGTACATTCAACTGATAATTCTATCATCACAATGTCGAATAGAATTTATCTCGATCGGAAAACTAATGTTAGTTCTCTTTTGTTACAGTTCTCATATCAGATGCCGAAGCTCTACAAATCTCTCAAGGAGTACGAAGTCATATTTCAAATGCTGCGTGATGTCGAACTGGATTTCCCTGACGATCCTTTCAACAACTACAAGATCGTGCGTCAGAGACTCATTAGCAATACATTGCACAGACTGTACAGTTCCATTGCTGAAATAACAGAGAGCATGGCAGCAGTGAATATGGCGACCCCGCCATTTGACAGAACCAGAATGAAGTTAGACACTTTCCAAATGAAAGTAGACGCGACGCAGTGTCTCAAAAACGACTATATTGCGTTCAGAGGCTACGGTAACTTACTGAACAATTGGTATTTCGAATTCAGATGTCCGAGGAGCAAGAAGCTTAACAAAAGATGCGCGGCGTACGAAGATAAACTAAAAGAGAAAAAGGATAGCAGGAGACCCAGAAATAAAATTAACATGCTTTTTATGAGTTGAGTCCTAATTCGCCACTATATTTATTCCAATTCTCGTACAAACGCCACTACTGTACTTATTTATTTTTAGTATAGTTACAGCTCTCTTTGCAACGTGAAATAATCGTTTGGATTGCTTGACGGAACATTATAGTTTGTTGATTAAGTAATGGGTACTTTCTCTGTGATATTTAGTATTCTGTAGATAGTAATGGTTAATTTATTGAATGCATTAGTTATTAAGCGTTGTAATAAGTTCCTTTGTACTTAACTGCAACTTCTCTTACCTTCTCTCGCTTTTGTTTTTTTTATTTAAAATCGATTTCTTTTAACGTCTCTCTATTTATTTTATTGTATACAATCGTGATTTCTACCGTCTCTGTTATTATATGTTCGATTAAAATCTATTCTATTTCGTGAAAAGTATTAACAAATTTAAGTCTTAATCTCACTAAGTATTACTAGTAGGCGATTTATGCCATTTTAGCCAAGAAAGACTTTTAGCCTATTTTTATATTATCTAAGCTGCTTATTTATATGTTTAGTCATAAGAACATTTTTATAAAAACGTGCCGTTAATTGCATAATGAATGTACTGATGCCATGTGAACTTTACCGACAAATTGTGTAACTTTTTGTATTGTGAAATTTTATAAACGCGACCGAAAAATGATAATATGACTAAGAATTAATATGAAAATAAAATTTTAAAAACCCATGTTTCACTTTATTTTATTACTACACTGTTTACCTCTGTTATTTGTTATTATTACCTCAGGGTGACGTTATTTCCCCGAAACTCTTCACCGCTGCATTAGAAGACGTTTTCAAGCTACTGGACTGGAAAGGATACGGTATTAACATCAATGGTGAGTACATCACTCACCTTGGATTTGCCGACGATATAGTCCTTATGGCAGAATCGCTGGAGAACTTAAGCACTACGCACAATGACCTCAATAGTGCCTCCCAACGGATAGGTCTTAAGATGAACACGGACAAAACAAAGATCATGTTTAATGTCCATGTCTCATGACAAATAATCCGACTAGGTAAGTCCAACTTCGACCGAGAGGTCAACCGATGGATTCAACTCGGCTGGGCAGCGTTCGGGAAATTACGACACATCTTCTCGTCAGGTATACCTCAAAACCTGAAAACTAAGCTGTACAATCTAGTACATCACTGGCAACACGCACGTGTTGCCAGTAATGACCTACGGAACCGAGACGTGGTCCTTCACTGTTGGCCGTATGAGGACGCTTAAAGCCGCTAAGCGAGCAATGTATAGGGCTATGCTCGGAGTTTCTCTGCGTGATAAACTTAGAAATGAGGATATCCGCAGTAGAACCAGAGTGACCGACATAGCCCAACGGATTAGTAAGCTGAAGTGGCAATGGGCCGGCCACATAGTTCGAAGAACCGAAAACCGTTGGGGAAAAAATTTTCTCGAGTGGCAGCCTCGTACCGGTAGGCGAAGTGTAAGGCGACCCCCCACTAGATGGAGTGACGACCTGGTAAGACATGCAGGAATTCGATGGATGCAGGTGGCTCAGGGCCGTGCTTTGTGTTGCCTTGGGCGAGGCCTATGTTCAGCAGTGGACTTGTGAAGGGCTGTAATGATGATGATGATTACCTCTCACTCTCAACGTACAAAGTAGGCAAAAATGTCATTTGTGAACACTTATATAAATACAAAATATCCAAGCGAGTGTGTGAGTGGCAGAGCAGCAATGAACGCTTTAAATGGAAGTTTATCGCCTCAAATTGACAATATATTAAAAGTACTCTTAATCGATGAGCACGTATAAAGAGATATGAACGGTTATTCCGTTTATCCTTCCTAAAACACCCACTTCATAGTGGATACAAGGAAACGCGTGGTCATCTATCAAACCCAGACGGGGTGGTTAGATGAATAGAATTCGTATATTATTTTTTCGCAATATTCTCTCACAGAAGTTTACAGTTACTTGTAGAAACATGATAGCACAGTTTCTAGTAGTCCAAAATACTTAGTAAATATTATCATACCTAGAAAAAATACATACCTACATGTTCCTGTTTGAAATATCAAAGCTATTAAAGCAAAGATCAAAGGTATTTAAATATATCACAGTATAGCACTAGTTAAAGTTATAGATATACGTCCCACTGCTGGGCACAGGCCTTCCCTCATTTCTGAGAGGGTTTCAATGCAAGGAAGTGTCCGCCGCGCTGCCCCAATGCGTGTTGGCGAACTTCACACGTCTTCGAAATGTATTTTTTTATTTCTCAAACATGCAGTTTTACTCACGATGTTTTCCTTCACCGTCCAGCACGTGGTGAACCAGTACTTAAAATTGCAATTAACAGTTTCATTTGTGCCCGCGGGGATCGAACCCGGCTTGCTCGCGTACCTACTGTGTAAATGTGAAATTTACAGCGAGTGCTAACAATCTGAGCAACCACTGCTCTGTACTAGCATGGTTTAAAATTTTAAAATGTCTTTTCATGAGTCAGAATCCTGTGACAAGTAAGCTTATGCTTAAAAATTAATTAATAGGTAATATATTAAAGTATATGAGTATATTTACTGTTGAACTGTAGTTGACGTGAAAAGTTGAAAGAACAATTAGAAGTGAGTTCGGATTATCCCCCCGTCTGTGGTGGATAAATGAACACGTATATCCGAGTATCCTGCCCCCCCCCCCCCCTAGGGAGGCTATTTTAGAGAGTATTAACGGAATAAGCGGATATGAACACAAAATTATGGGATATAATTACTTGTAATCTATAGATATTTTTACTCAATATAGATTATAAGTACCTAGTTCTTATTGAAATTCAGTTAGTACTTTTATCAGTTCGAAAAAAAACCACTGTCTTGGTAAGAACCAGCAAAAAACCCAGCATAATGTTAAAAAGCGAGAAAGGTGTGTTATTATCGTGCCGCATGGAAGTCTGAAAATCTCTGGTTACCCTTATGTGTGACAACATGAGATTTCAGGAATTTTGAAAAAAAAATTATTCTATTCATATTTTTATTTCTAATCATCATCAGTCTTCTGTTTTTAGTTCACAGCTGGACATAGACCTATCCTATGAAATCGGCTTAGTTAATACCTAGGTACATAATACCTAAGTTTCATCATTCAGTCATTTTTTGATTACGAAATATTACGTAGATGAGAACTTATTTCATTCTGTTGTAATTGAAAAAAGAACTAATGTAATATAGACATAAAACGATATTATGAGATTTTCAAAACACAAACACCATCAACAATTGATACAGATGTAAGAAAATGCATCATTTTTATATGGATAAAAAATGTCAGTTTTAAGTGATTGATTTAAGGTTAATATCCTCGCATCTAGTACAAGTACTGGAAATGTACAACGCTATAATAAATTTATAAAAGTTTTACATTCGCTAAAAAACTTTGCCCGTTGAATATTAAAACGAAATTTTTTACTTTCATAAACTCTGAATAAAGAACGATACCCAGTAGGTCTTTAAATTAATAATACCTACGAAAGATGAAGTAAAGTAGAAGAAGTTACAATCTTTATCATAGATTCGCAGCTTCGCACATCAATCTTTCATTTACCTACTGAAGCTGGTAAGCAATTAGGAGACCGCCGCATTGATTCAGTGGGTTAGGGAACTTCAAATCTCATTGAAATATTTTATGCCTCAAACCTCAAGGTGGTTCCTCATGATGTTTTCATTCAAGGAGCACGTAGAAAAGAGTACTTAAAATTAAAATTACTGCGGCGAGGATCGAGCCCCTGTTGTCTGCGTACTATTAAATTTAAGGCGAGCGTTTAGCCTCTGAGATACCACGGCTTTACACGAAAAATTATAAATAGATCATTAAATAATTTTTGTTTATTGGTGAGTCTGCTATTGACCGTGCTACTTCTGCACAACTTGACCGATTAAGATCATATTCCTACAAAATAATATTTGTTTAGGAGGCGAGACCGAGACGATAATTCATATCTTTGCTAAGACCCGATAGGTGGCGCTGTGATCGAGTTTTTTATATTATTATTTTTTTATATTACAGTAACAAATTTACGTCGTGAACGGGGACATAAAACCAAAATGCATAATGAGCCAGCTGGTATTTGCTTAAATTAAAATAAACAATTAGATTTTTAAAAATCTTCTTTGGATCTTAAGTGCTAATTATGTTATTTTATGAAGTTATTAATATCAAGATACTTTATAATTTAGCATATTGAATATAGTGTGTTAAAAAATTTATAAAGATGAAAATGTTTATTTTAGATTGTATCGCCATCTAGCAGTCGCGGTCGTCGTAGGAATTATCTATTTTTAGTATGTCTACTCGACACTAGATGGCACTTTTCGATCTAAAAATAATATTATTTTCAATAGGTGGCATTAACTCGTAAATAGTTATCTAAACAAAGGTTACAATTAGTCATCATTATTGATTTTCAGTGAGAATTTTTCAACATTAATTAAATATTACTTAAAGGAAATTGGTCCTTATTTACTTGGTGACTTGCTGTAATCAAACTAATACAAACCCTTACTATATTATTATGTTGTTCGTAAATGTTCATAAGCCTAGATAACTTTAAATAAGAAATTTTCTGATAGCGTAAATATATTATTACGGGTTTTTACAGAATATAATTAAGCGCCATCTCTTTTCTTTACTATACATTACGATTTGTTGATAACTTTTCCACTTTATACTAAATGTACTATTTGTTAATAGATGTCACTATTCTAATATTTTTAAGACATGTTTTTATGTTTTTTGCCCTTTTGAAAAAAATATTAAATTAATTTATTTAACTATCGATCATAACTATTGATACATTTTTTGCCAATACCTTTTGACCGATACGTCTTAAGGACCTTCAAAAAATAACCTACTCTTTTTTAAACCCAATATATATATATATATATATATATATATATATATATATATAATATATCCCGTTATACTGCCTCATAGAGGGGAGGTCTATTTTCTCCAGCCTTAGCCAGCCTGCAGT